GCTCAGGGTGAATTAAAAGGTGTTTCATTCTATTACTGTCAGGATTAGCCTCCCCAGGCTGCCTCCTGCCCTCTCTTCTCTCTCTTTCCCTCTCTCCCTCCCTCCCTCCCTCTCTCTCCTCTCTCTCTCTCCCCCTCCCTCTCTCTCACTTGTACCTGACACGCACTGTGCTCCTGAGCCCAGATGTGGGTGGAGCAGAGGATGGGTTATGATGTGCCCTGTTGAATGGGGGCCCCCACCAAGATGCAGATCTCCCCGGAACCTGGCAACATGACTTCACTTGGAAACTAGGACTCTGTGTGTGTAGCTGGGTGAGCGCCGGGCAAAGGGCAAAAGGAGGCAGTCATGAGGAAACCAAAGTACAACTCCACTAATGTTGACTCTAGGGAACCGGTGAGTTTATTGGGCGTATCTACAGAGTATGCATGGGTTACGACAGGAGCATGGGGGACCCCATAGTAGTCCCACTGGAAAGTGTCCATCCACCATGTCAAGATGGCTTCCCCAGAGCTGCAGATCAAGCCCTCCCCTCTAGTTAACTTTCCCAAGCTATATAATCCAGTACCTCTCCAGACAGAAGGCCATATACAATTGGGGTCAGATTATATAGAAACAGCTGTGAGGGGTCAGTCACTCTCCCTGTTTCCTGCTTGTCCGAGGGAATGCCAACAGTCTCCAGGCCTGCTTATGATGGCCTCTGGCCAGCAGGTGCAGCTGGCCTGATGCAGGTGGCAGCCGGGGTGGGCTGTCTTTGAGTAATTTTGCTCCTATAAACCCCAGGAAAACTCACTGGTTCACCAACTTGGTCTCTGGCACTATCCATGCTTTGGTCAGCTGTCAGCGTCCTGTCTGGGTGAGTAGACATTGGTTCATCTCCCCAGGAATAGTGTCACACTGAGAGGCAGACATTCAGGACCAGTCAGCCCTTGCAGGCCTCTGAAGAAGCTACCCAGGACCTAGACACTTCTGTCTGACTTCCTGCCCCCAGGGTTGGTGGGGGAAGGGATGCAGAGGGTATTTCCTCTGTTTCAGCATGCCTGCACACTTTGTCAGTGAACGTTTGTCAATTATGTGCATGTGAATACCACACTGCCTTCTGGCCAGGTCATAAGAAAAGGTGCTCCCAAGTCACTGCCTACCTCGAAGGAAGGAAGAAGGAAGGAGGAAAGGAAGGAAGGAAGGAAGGAAGGAAGGAAGGAAGGAAGGAAGGAAGCAGGCCAAGTGCTATTTGGGTTCTAAGCTCAAATTGGACAAAGTACAACAACACTTTTCAGAAGCTGGAAGAACTTTGAAAGTGCATCATCTGACAACAGTCCCACAAGCAAAGACATGTAACTGCCCTACTTGCCTGCATAGAGCCCACTTCAAGAAAGTATACCCGGTCATTTATTTATTTTAACACCCACAGTGATAAAAAATCTCTTGTTTATCATCATCATCACCACCATCACCACCACCATCATCATCATCATCACTACCATTATCATCACGATCATCTTAGCCCTTTCTTTTTCTGCCTTCTGCAAAAACAGCATGTCCTACCATATTTCATTTTGTTTTCTTTCTTTCCTCATAGCACATTTTAGTAACCACCATGCTTTGCTCCCACCCTCTCAATGAAGAAGTCCAGGTTACAGGCCTGACCAGAAGGGATGGAGGGGGAAAAAAAGAAACCTCCTCTTAACCTAAAGAGGGTGATAATTCAGAATGGAAGGAACTGAGGCACAAATAACCAGGACTTAAGATACATTAGAGTCTCAGGGAATCTGAAGTGTGGTAGAAACCACAGCTCTATGCCTTCCAAAAGCACATGGGTCAGGTCACACAACAAATCCAAAAGCCATGAATCTGAAAAGGGGACTGGGAGGGGAGAGGGTGATAGCAGTGGGAGGAACATAAAATAGGGGGGAAAGAACCAGATTGTGTTATCTACATGTCTGAGACTGTCAAAGAATTTAATATAACAAGCACAAGCACACAAAAGTTTTCCATAATTAACCCTTTGATGTTCATGTACAGACCTCCATATGCATACATACAACTATTCACTAATGTCAAAATGTTCTCTGCCAAATCCTTGATAACAACAGAGCACTGGAATTAATCTAGAGGACTATCAATCATGCAAGGCCATGGGCAGTAACAAAGTGGATGGATCCAAGAGTGCCCCACACAATAACAAAATCTGGTCAAGTTCAAAGAAATCGCGAGGCACAGAACAATGGCCCAAGTATGATTACAGCACAGGCACAGCAACCCTTGAAGAACACACAACCAGGAATGGGGCTTGTGTTGGTAGTAGGAGGATTAAACTACAAGTGATCTGAGGTTGGAGGTAAAGCCACCCCTTCTTTTTAAATCCTTGCCGTTCCATTTTGAATTAGAAGAAAGATAAAAGGATGGTTGGGTAAATACTTGGGTAGGTGGTTGATGGAAAGAGTAAGAAAGAAAAATGGGAGTGAGGAGTGGAGGAGGGAAGGAGAGAGGGAGGGAAGGAGGGAGGGAGGGAGGGAGAGAGGGAGGGAGGGAGGGGAGAAAAACAGAATGATAGTTTTAAAGGAACTTGTGGCCTCGCTACATCCCAAAATACCCCCAGCTTTGAGAATAACTGATATAATAAACGTTAGGCACAGACAGCCATCAATAGCTAAGTATCTAATAAATGATTTTCCCAGCCTGGCTGCTGCTACCACCCAGGGCAGCTGAACTTCCCTCCCAAGCCATGGCTTCTCTGGCTTTTCCCCCTGCTGAACCAATTATAGGACATGATAGCAGCGCCGTGATTGTTTTTTAAAGGCTGATGTTTGTCACTAAATGCCCATTAAGCTGGCCTCCTTGCTCCAGCTACTGCAAGCTAAAGGACAAATCCAGATGGCACCAACAGTGCCCTTCGGGCTTGGTCTGCAGGAAGCCAGGCAGCAAATAAGCATTATCAGTTTGAGAGTGTCCAGACGCCTGACACCCACAGCTGCATCCAGGTGAGATGAGACAGCAGCGAGCAAACCATCAAGGGCTGCATCAGGGCCTGCATCAGAACGGTTAGCAACAGCTACAAGGATTGCTTGGCAACCTGGTAACAGGAGGTACCTGGTATTCAGAGCCTGGCGAAAGGACTGCAGCTCCCACCACACAGCCCCACCACCGAACACTGAGGGGCCAGGGAGATAACAGTCTGTAAAGCGCTGGCCTTTCAAGCATGAGGTCCTGAGTTCAAGCCCCAGAACCTAGATTAAATAAAAAACAAAAACAAAAAACTGGGCACGATGGTGTGTGCTTGCAGTTCCAATGTAGGGAAACAGAGAGGCAGATGCATGGGATTGTGTGGGCAGCCTGCTAGTCAACTTGGCAAGTTCCAGATCAGTAAGACAGCCACCCCCTGGTCTCAAACAGACAAAAGCGTACATAGGACGTAAGGAATAATGGCAAAGGCTGTTCTCCGGCTTCCATAATACATGCATCTGTGTGTGTATGTGTGTGGGGGTATTTGCCAGTTTACACATTGTTCAAAGCCACCCTGAATCCCCAACTCCTTTTGTTTCAAAGACAAAGTAGTAGAGCCAGGCCAACTTTTCTTTTCCTCCCCCCCCCCCCTTGTTGTTTTTTGAGACAGGGTTTCTCTGTGTAGCTTCGGAGGCTGTCCTGGAACTCGCTCCATAGACCAGGCTGACCTTGAACTCATAGAGATCTGCCTGCTTAAGCCTCCTGAGTGATGGGATTAAAAGTGTGCACCACCGCCCAGCTAGGCCAACTTTTCTACCCTACAGAAATGTTAGGTTGGGGCTACAGCAGCTTCACAAGGGCACACAGGTTGAGCAAAGAAACTTTGCACAGAGAGACCTGAGTGCCTGTGCGCTCAGGACTTGGCATGGAAAACGACACCTTTGGTGGAAGACAGCCCTTGACTAGAATCCTGTGGGAGATGATGGCAGCTAGGCCTCGACCATTAGAGGCTGAGTGTGAATGAGATGTGTGATGGGTGACAAGGGGCAGCTGTGGCTGACCCTCTACAGCTTGACAGCCTATTAGATGGATTTTATTTCCTGCTTATATCCCAGCTAGGAAGTGATGGAAGGCAGACAGGGTCAGCCAGAGAGAAGGCATCCAAGGTTTTCCCTGGATAATGCATCCAGGGTAGATTGTGAATGGAAACCATGGGGCTTGAGAGCTGTGCAGGGAAGAATCCAAGCTCAGACTGGACCCTCTGAGATTCTGGAAGTGTTAGCTGGCTCCTTTGGAGAGGCCCTTCCCTCTGTCTCAGCAGAAATGATGCTGCTGAGATTCTGGAAGTGTTAGCTGGCTCCTTTGGAGAGGCCCTTCCCTCTGTCTCAGCAGAAATGATGCTGCTGAGATTCTGGAAGTGTTAGCTGGCTCCTTTGGAGAGGCCCTTCCCTCTATCTCAGCAGGAATGATGCTGCTGAGATTCTGGAAGTGTTAGCTGGCTCCTTTGGAGAGGCCCTTCCCTCTGTCTCAGCAGGAATGATGCTGCTGAGATTCTGGAAGTGTTAGCTGGCTCCTTTGGAGAGGCCCTTCCCTCTGTCTCAGCAGGAATGATGCTGCTTTGCTGTTGTTGTCTTTAAAGTGCTCTGGCTCCACACAGACAATGCAAGAGATGCATGCACTCCTTCCCCAGATGCATCACAAAGTCAGCATCACACAAGTGGAAAGGGTGCAAAGGGCGCTCAGGGTTCACCGCGAGTGGGGACATGGGGGGACTAATCAGTGCTCATCCTTTCTAACTCGAATCAGCCCCACCCCATTCAGAGTGGCTCCTGTCCATCCAGCCAAGTTGAATACAGCAGCAAAGCTGTTACAACTGCATATATAACGGATGCGAGTTTGCATGAACAAATGAGAGAAACAGGCATGGGCACAGCACCACTGTGAGCAGTGAGTGAGCAGCCTGGAGGGCAGGGTGCCCAGCATCCCCTCCACTCCTGAAGCCAGCCCCAGGTCTGGACCCTCCCTCTGGCCCAGCTCAGCATCTACAGCAGAAGGCTTGCCTGAAAGAAGCCCAGTGCTACCTATCCGGATGGAGAGTTCGCTCTCGGGCAGGAGCAGTGTGGTGGGGCCCTCGGGATCAGACTTCTTCTTCATCAGTGCAGGGTCCAAGTTCAGGGCCAGGGCCGTCTGGGGGTCTTCCGCAGCACCCTGAAACAGGAAGTAGGACTGTCACTACAACTCCAGACCCTCAGGACCCACAGATGTCTGGACAGAGGGACCCGTGTCCCGCTAAGAGTACTAAGGTCTGAGTGTCTGATAAGTCCCAGCTCTCACAGGTAGGATTCTGTGGGATTGTATGGGAAAACTTTGGGGACAGATGACTTTGTAGGTTCCAAAACCCAAGATCTAATGAGTTGACACCAATCCCCCACAAACACACAGAAAGAGAGAGAGAGAGAGAGAGAGAGAGAGAGAGAGAGAGAGAGAGAGAGAGAGAGAGAGAGAGAGAGAGAGAGAGAGAGAGCTGGATACAGGGCACAACAGACTTAGAACATGACCTATTAAAATAAGCCCTTGGAGACACCGACCCATCCACATGTAGCTGCCATTGCTGGTCACTGTGACAGAATGCCAGACAAACTACCTGCAGGACAAAAGGATAATTTTGCTGACTGTTTCAGACGATTCTATCTGAGGGTGGAGAAGGCACGGCAGAGCAATGCAGTTCACCTCACAGCAGCCAGGAAGCAAAGGAAGGAGACAAGCCCTACTTCTCCATCTTCTTCCTCTTCTCCCGGTCCCTTCTCCATCCGGTCCTTAAGCCGAGAAAATGGTCCTGCCCACACACAGAAAGGCTCCTCCCACCCCAGCAATCGTCTCTCAAAAATACCATCACAGACACACCCACAGATAAGCCTCACCATCATTTACTATGAATCCAGTCAACTGTGAAGACCAACATCACAAGACCACAGCGTGCCAACATGTCACTCGGATACCTCACATTAAGCTATGGTGTTCTACTCCTAGGATGCAGGAGGGTCATGTCCACCTCACAAAACAAGATTCATTTGGTCCTCTAAAGGTCCTCAAAGTCATGGTCACAACATCACTCAAAAGTCTAAGTTCAAGGTCTCTTCTGACACCTAAGGCGACTCACAGTTGTGAAATCTGGGAAAATCAAAATGTGAGGTGCGTGTTTCCCATCCACAAAAGCACAGAGTAAGGGTTCCTGCTTCAAAAAATGGAGGAATGGGAGACTAGCAAGGACAGACTGAAGCCCAGCAGGGAAAACATTAGACCCTACAGCTCCGTATCTGGCGTCCTGGGCACTCACTCTCACAGCTTCACACATTGGCTTCCAGGGGATCCCCACAGTGAACCCAGTCCTATTATACATAGGTTGGTCTTGCAAGCGCCCTTAAAATCTGTATGTTGTGGGATATTTGTACACTGTGAACATGTATTGGTGAAACTACTGTAATAACAAGCCCGACAGCTAACAGTTAGGCAGAAGAGATAGGCAGGACTTCCTGGACAGAGAGAGAATGCCTGGGAAGAAGGGGGGGGGTCACCAGCCAGATGGTGAAGTAACAGGATGAGCAGTACAGAGAAAAGGTAACTGAGTCATACAAAAGAACACAGATTAAAAGATATTGACTAATTTAAGTCATAACTAGTTGGGAACGAGCCTAAGCTAAGGCCAAGATTTCATAATTAGTAAGTCTCTGTGTTATTTCTTGTGAGCTGGCAGCCCAAAGGAAAATCCATCTGCATCTGGTGGACGCATCCATCTACAATAACACCACTCTTGCATTCAATATGCCTGCTTAACCAAAAGCTATAGAGACAATGTCAAAGCCTGCTATCATGCAAAATACCCAGACCAGATTGGACCACAGGAACAAGTGGCCTGTAAGTGTCTGGGTGGAGGAATCTGAGAGAACAATTCTCTAGACAGCCCCATGCAAGCAAGAAACTCTAGTGTTCACTATAAACAAGAAAAATCCTTCAGAGGAGGTTGTAGATTTATACTTTGGAATATGTTGTAAGTGGGGTCTGGCCCAATATCCAAGTGTCTCAGTGCAAAGTGCTTGGCTTGTCTTCAACGTAAACTAATCTCTTACAGACTGTACCCTCCTTGTTGTTCACAACTTTCAACTTACTCCTTTACTAGTCAGTCTTCATATTTTCAAATATTTCTGCTCACAATTCTCACTATAAACTTGACTAAAGTCAGTCAGTAATAACCATTCTGATACCTGAACTTTGTCTGGGAATCTCCTCTGCCAAGTTAATTTATTCCCTACTCTCTTTTTATTATTTTTAATTGTGTGTGTGTGTGTGCATGTCTCTGTGTGTGCACATGTGTGTGAGTGCAGATGGCCACAAAGGCCACAGACACCGAGTTGAAGTTAGAGATGGCTGTAAGCAGGTGTTGGGAATCAAACTCCGGTCCTCTGCAAGAACAGTGTGTGTGCTCTTAACCACTGAGCCATCTCTCTAGCCCTACCCATTACTTCAAAGTTAGCCTCCCACAAAGTTTTAGGACATAGGTAAATGTAGACAAAAGTCTTGGCTAGGACATGACATGCATGGTCTGTAGTCAAGCTCTCAGTAGAGTTCTTCTCCCCTCAGGAACCAGATGAGCACATTCATTACTGCCTGAGTTTTTGATGGGATTCTGGTCCCCTACGCTTCCAGCAGAATCACCAAGCTCTGCTTACAGGGCATCCAAGGCCCACATCTCTAAATGCTTCCAAAGGCTTGAGAAATGGATAACCAGGGTTAGTCATGCCAATTCCCCCTGTCCTGGTATCAACTTTCTGTATCTGTTACTTCTCTATCATGGTAACCAAAACTCCCGGCAGAAGAACAGAAGAGGAGGGAGAACTTATTTTGTCTCACAGTTTGGGAGGCTTTAAGTCCATCATAGTGGAGAGGGCATGGCATCAGACAACAGTTCAGAGAACTGGGAACGTTTCTTTCAGGAAAGAATTTCAGAAAAGGTGTGCCAGGCTGTACCTTATACCACACACACACACACACACACACACACACACCTTCACACACCTTTTTGTTTTCTCGTGACCGTGATGATCAAGGACAAAAAGAAATTAAAGATTCAGATATTTTATTTCATCGTGTCTTTCCAATTAAATATTAAACATGAACACTTCAGGGTGTCTCACATCTTTTTTTTCATGCATCTGTAGTTTCTTAATTCCTTATACATCAAACCTTCTGTGGAGTACTTTGACAAGGGTACCAATGCCTCATTTAATCTTGTTTGAGAACGGGGAGAGGGGCAGAAGCCCCCATCCCTGTTTGGCCAGCCCCACGCAGTCCCCAGCTTCTATGCTGAATCCTGGAATCCCCTCTGTCACACTGAGTGACATCTGGCTCTTGGCATCGTGGTCAAGGCTGGCACCACAGATGGACAGAGTCATGGGTGGATGAGAAACCCTGAGCGAGGCAGTCCACACTTCTGCAGAAGGCCCCTCCAACCACTTTCGGGTGACAGCTGGTGTCTGCGTGATGAGCCGTGGGCCACAGAGTGGCAGCTCTTTGTTTGTTTTTATGCTTTAATTATTTCTAATTCTACATCTCCCGCTGATATCTGAGAGATCACTGCAGCAATAAAAGATGCTCGCCATGACAGGGTAGCAGCTGACGTGCCTGCCTTTGTCTTCCTTTGATGGAGTGAAGAACTGGGAGGAACACAGAGGCGGGGAATCGCTTCATGGCAGGGGAAACGCCGCTGCATTCTTGTGCACCAAGCTGAGACTGAAGCCGCTCGCCCACCTGAAGCCGCTCACCCACCTGAAGCCGCTCGCCCACCTGAAGCCGCTCACCCACCTGAAGCCCTCCAAGGAAGGCACAACTTGGACACAATCAGGTTGGTTTAGGACAATGGTTTTAAACAGGGTGACTTTAGTCTCCCCTCCCCAGACCTCAGAACACTGAGAATTAGGCATCTTTGGCTGTTCCCGTGGGAGTGTGGGTGGTTCCTCTGGTATTTCTCAATATCCTATCACGTATGGGACAGCCTCAGAGCGAAGGACAATCAGACGACGGCATCACTAATGTGGAGAAGCCCCGCTTTTGAAAGATTTAGGCTGACCAGGACCTCACAGCTCCCTCTGTTGCTGCAGATTAATGCTGGGAACTCTGAGCTCTTGTCACTACCAAGAAAAGAATTCTGTCACTTGCTCAGATGACTGCTGCCTGCCTGCCCTCACGACTCAATACGTTTTTAATTAAGCATCAACTGTCTACCAGAGCTCTGCAGCTCCTCAAGATATAAAAGAGTCAATTCCCATCCTACATGAACTGTCCCTTCTCCTTTGAGAGACCACAACAAACAATCAATGGCACATTGAACAATTAGAGGCCTGAATGGTGACAATGTTTGGAAGAAAGGGACCGGGAAGGTGGCTCAGTGGGTCAAGTGTTTTCTGTGTGAGCATGAGGACCTGAGTTTGGACCTCAAGCATCCAAGAGCCAGGCACAGTGGCTATGATGCCCGTGACCCAGCCCTGGGGAGGCAGAGACAAGTGAATCCCTGGAGCTCATTGGTCAACCAGCTTAGAGACCTGAGGAGGCCCAACTTCAGGGAAAGGCCTGAGAAAATAAGGCAGGGCACAGTCGAAGACATCTGGCATCAACCTCTGGCTCCCACATGCACGTGCATACATGTGTGTTTCCACCCACACAAATACCACACACACACACACACACTCACACACACACTCACACACACACTCTCACACACACTCACACTCACACACTCACACACAAAAATGTTGAGTGAATGCAGAAACAAATGAAGAGAAATGTCACAGCCAAGGGTTATGTACACCCTTGTTCCTGGGTTTGTGACAGATGACATGTTCAGTGACTCCCATATTCAACATGGAGGTGTATGTGACCCTTGGGTTACAGTGTAGACAGCAGCCTCTCTTCCAGGACGGCATTTAAGAAAAACAAACCTTGGCATCCCCTTAGCCCTCAGCTCTTTCTGTCACTCGGCTAACCCACATCCCAGGGACTGTTCTGCTTCTATATCCACACTTTAGGAAATAGGAGGAAGTACACCAAGGAGCCTCCATCCCAACAGCATTCGGAAGCTGCCCTCTTAGGGCCAGCAAGATGGCTTAAGGCAGCAGTCCTCAACCTTCCTAATGCTGTGACCCTTTAATATAGTT